GCCGGGCCGAGGCGGGTCGCGTAGCGTTAAAATTACCGCCGCGTGTGGAAATACCGAAAACTTCAGGAAGAGCAAGTGACCCCACAGTAATGTTGCACTCGGTTTGGCCACAGTGCCTGCAACTGCGAAGTTCGTGTCCCCAAAGAAAAATCGTTTTGGACAAGAAGGCCGGGAAAACCTATAACTTAGACCCTCAAGCTTCAAGCCAGGCTTGGCGCGATTCCAGCTTCAGATTCCAGAAGTTCCCGAAGCCGGGTTTTATTTTAAATTTCCGTTTAAAATTCCATTACGAAGCAAGCCCCAAACAAGTCTCCAAGCGAGTAGCCCACGAGCTGCCCTCATGCGCTTTAGTATATTTTTCGGTTGCCCAGCTTGGTCCGGAGCCCACCGCCTTGCCAGGGAGCCAAAAAATATCTACCCTTGACCCCTCCCGCCCTATCCCCAGGCCCCGTTCCTTCCTATAGAAGGTGCGCAAACATCCGGAAATTGTTTGGGGGGGGGACGGAGTGCAACATGACTTCACACTACTTCAGTGTTGCTATCACCACGACTCTCTCCGCATCATGCTGACCATCCTGCACTGGCTCGTCGGAATCATTTTCGACCTCGTCAGCGAGCACCCCTGAACGAAAAATTGGTGCAGGACCGTGAAAAGTGAGGTCTGAATTTCCATCATTCGGCTGTAATGCAAACATGGGCCCCAGCCAGCTCATCACTTTCGGTGTCCTGTGGTCAATCAAGGGCTCTTGCAGGCTCAGTGAGAAGCGGATTGTGCTTTGCGATTTTGTTGAGGTTGTCAAAATGGGGGCAAGCAGACTGTCCATGAAACGACACGGTCTGCAATCACCATTAAACCGATTTAGACCTCCAGGAGCTTTCTAGATTGGCTTCAGGCTCCTTGAAGCTTGTGGCTCCTTGGAGCTTCCACCAAGACCCCTTTCATACCTTGCTTATGACATTGATACTTCGAAGATTCTACTACATGGCAGGACATGGCAATCGTTGTCTGCTACTGCCAGTACAAACCCCAAGGACTACAACCTGCAATCGGGCTATCAGCTGTAGAGCATTCAGGGATTTTGGGAATCAGCTCCGGCTGCATGAAGTCTTTTACTGAAATCCCTGAAACCCCTAGCCTAGACCCTAAAGCATTAAAACCTAACCCACCCCAAACACTGGGGCTCAACATCTGCTGCGGTCTTGGCACGCGAAGGCATACATTTCAGCCCCTGGCAGCTTGGCAACTCACACTTCTACTGTGGAAGACCCTAAACCTTAAACCCCAAACCCTAACAACCCTAAACCCCCATCTAAAACCCTAAACCCCTACAACCCTAAGCCTCCCAAACCCCAAACCCCAAACCCGAACAAGCGCACAACATGTCCTGGGCCGCTGCGACCGCAGAGGAGGCCGCTGCAGCCTCCAATAAGAGTCGATTTTTAGGGTTTAGGCAGTTTAGGGCTTGGGCCGTATGGGGGTTAAGGGTTTAGGAGTTCAGAGATGGGTGCAAAAGTCTGATGGCTTGTCAGTGCTGCAGATACACAACCCTGTAAACCCTAAACCGTGAACCCTAATCCCTAAACCCTAAACCCTGTACTGCTCGAAGCAGGAGCGAGCTGACATGGAAGAGCTCGTGCTTCCTAGTCTGCTGAGCTGTGGTTTATTATTTGCCTAAGAACACCCAAGAATAGTTTCCCTGTAAAGGTAATATGGGGATTGTTATCTTTTTTTGGAGGGTTCTTAAGCCAATTGTAATCATTTGTGGTGTGTGAGTCAAGACCGATCGTAGCAAGCTGCCATTGCTCTCGCAAGGGGTTTAGGTGCTTAGGAGTTTAGGGTTTTAGGGGTTTAGGTGTTTAGGGGTTAGGCGTTTAAGGCTTGGAAGGCGTCCAAGACCTACCACAGCCCCAGCAGAACAGGACGCGTGGGCAACCCTTTCTTTGCTTTGAATGCCCGTTCTTGGGGGGGGGGGGGATTGCGGAAAGTGTAGGACGCATGTTCGACTAGCTGGCTTCCCGCAATGCCTGCACTCGTCACTGGTTTCATGTCCGCCTCTTCATTTGTCGTGGCGGAGGCAGCCCTGCACCCAAGTTTGTGTGCATCGTGTCCATTGGCAAAGCACCAGCTGGGCCAAAATAATGATGCAGCATCAGGCTGTTTTTCGGTATTCCCATGTCTGCACCGCTGTGACCCCGCCTGCCGCAGCCTTCACCTGAGCCGCGGCCTCGAAGCAGAGTAGGAAGACCTTCCTCCAGAGGACGGTCGGACAGGGCTAATAAAGATCTTTAGTGTTTGGGGTAAGGACGGGTTAGGGGTTCGTGTAGTGCAGGGTTCAAGTTGTAGGGTTGAGGGCGCGCGGGGATTTGCTAAAGGGGTACTCGGGGTGAAGGCTTAGAAGCACTTTGGGTCTGGGGCTGGCATATGATACACCCTTCGTCTCATTGATGTCCTCGGATTTCGGGGTTAGGTTTGGTTTGGGGCTGGGTGAGGGGTTCGCATGCTGGGGGGGGGGGGGGGGGAAGAGTTTAGTGTGTAAAAAGCTGCATTGAACACGCACAGGGTTCATGGCTTTGGACTTGTGATTACGTGTGCTAGCATGAATTAGAACCATTTCGGGATACTTTCCGGCACTGCTTGGGGTCATGGTTAGGCTTGAGGGCACGAACACACAAGCAAGCAGCCCAAAGAAAAAAAATGAACGATTATAACCATGGTTGACAAACCTTTTGACAACATCAGTACACAAAGCACGCGCAAGTGGTGGAGGGCTTAGCGCGCATGTCGATGTTCTATGTCAGAGCCATTCATTTAATTCATTTGCTTGAGTAGTGACTGCCCAGAATACCGTAGCGTGATCAGGGCGCTCCTGTCATGGTTAACTAGAAGCCCCAATCCCGAACTGAAGCTCAGGCCAACAGTAGCGATTGCCAAGATTACAGCTGCGTCGCCTCACCCGCCGGCCTGAGCGGTGTCGCTTTGAGGTTCTACAGTTCAATCCATCGCTTTGGGTTTTGCGCTCATGCAACTATGATTTGCCTCGGCCGAAAAGCGTCTGGAAACCAGGATCTAAATCGCATGACTCAAAGTTCAGTTGAGGTTGGGGTCGAAAATTCCACCTATGTTGTATTGACCTCAATGCGACCTTGTTATATATAAAATTAAACAAAAGGTCACACTAGGAAGCAAAAGACAAACTGCCGAATCGACCCCCGCTCGTCATGCCCCCGATCCCGTCCCCGCCTTTCCCCGCCGTAATCCACGCATATCCACCCCCCCCCCCCCCCTGCAAAAAATCTCATACACTGCATGCACGCGTCACGCAACGTCACACGTACCCCGTCACGCACACGGTTTTTGCACTCCATCACGTGCAGCTACAAAAAGCCCCCTGCATGCCGGCCGCCTCCGATCTCGTGCCCTCGCTCTTGGCTTGGCCTTTACACTCCATCACGCACCGGCCACGCCGCACGAACGTCACTGCGCTGTCACGTCCCATCACGCAACCGTCAGGCCCCCCGATCTTGCACCCCCTAATTAGTCCGTCGCGCAGCATCGCAACACGCGCAATTTCACGCCCCCGTCCGGTCCGCGCATTGCCCGCGCGTTGCCACCTTCTTAAACAGGACATTTGTGGCGTCATACATTTAGAACAGCCCCATTTGCATTATCGAGTCCAGAAAGAGAGAGAGAGAGAGAGAGAGAGAGAGAGAGAGAGAGAGAGAGCAGGCCCAACACCTCACACCCTAAACCCTAAATCCCAGCCAAGACTCTGGTCGTTCCACTGCTTCGGCCATACCCGGTCCGGGTGCCAGCGTCTTCCAGTGCCACCTTGCATGCAATCACGCGTGTTCTCACATTGGACAATAATACAAAAACGGCATGGTTAGTATTAAATACTGTCACCATCGGCACACAAGGGCAACAAGCAACATCCTGGGACTTTCCAAAGCATCCCATGCAACGAAAGGCCATCGCACAATTCAGAGCTGCTCCAACACAGTAGAACCGGCCTGTGATATGCAATAAAAGTTGCAGTAAACGGAATCATGGGATACAGTAATGTTCTGTAGCAATTGAACCACAACGGGCGAATGTCGACCAGACTGGGCTACATCCTCTTGTTTGTTGTTTTAACTTTGTACACCTATGGTATCTTCTTGCCAAAGTGGCAGTCGAGAGCACCAACGCTCTGCGCGCTCATGGCGGAAACTTGTTCTGTATTTAGTTGTTGGTCTTTTAGGGCATTCATTCATTCGGTTGATCACTCATGCATGTTTTGTTGTTCATCTTGGCTATTCCTAGCATCGAGCCCTTCATGATTATATCCTAGATCCAGAAGTGAAAGAAATCGTACCATCATGAGTCTTCAGGATCAAGTGAAGAAGCCTTCTTGCAGCCTTTGGTTGCTGGTTCCATGCTTGTGCCTTGCTCTTTGGCTTCCAATTCATGTGTGTTGAGGGTAAGTTCGATACATGCCTCGTAACAAGTAGTACCTGAGATAGCAGCGGCAGTCATGGTAGAACTTGAAGAAGAAGCAAGACATTGCGGTGCCGGTGAATGGGCAGGGATGTTTGCAAAGAGGTTATCGTTTGCTGTAGATAGTATACGATGGTGACTGGTGAGGATTTACTATACAAACATACGTTCGAAGCCTAAACAACTGCCGAGCACTCCTTGTACCTGCAATCCTGCATGTTTACTTCCTGTGATATAGCCCTTCTATGAAATCAGCTACCGAGGTCTCAGATTAGAAAAACACACGGAAGCTTGCATGAGTAGATACTACGTGCATGGCAACAAGACACGCCGAGGTGCGCAGATGTTCTCGTGCCTCCCGACCAGTGTAAAACGACTTCGAACTCCCTTGAACATGCAGCAATGCAGTATCTAAATGAACATTTTGCTGTTCAAGGTACCCTGAACGGAGGGATGCTCTGCGAACCAGTTTCAAAGCGCGCTTCTCTTTGTCGCGCATTTGACTCGGCGAAACCCACTCACTTCAGCATTGCCAAATGAGCTCCGCCAGTTTCGGCTCCAAATCAGAGCTCACGGTCTTGTAGAATATCCGGAGCTGCCGCTCTTCTTCGGCGAAGGTTCGGCTGGGATCATCATCAGTTCGCCAAAGGATCTGCAGGTCCTCAACTAGTTTCTGTTGGAGCTGCTTGGGCCGAAGGTGTAGAGTTCTGACCAACAGGGACGCCCACTGTTGCCGCTGAAGTTTGGAAAGTGAACGCAGAACAGTTCTGAAATGGCTCGCGCAGTTCAGCACCTGCGTTAAGGTCAGGTCGCAGATGTCGGTGGGGTCCGAAAGAAATTCTTCCATCAAGCCCAGCATGCCTTCTGCGATCAGCTGCCGTGCAAACGGGAAGCACCCTTTAAACATGGCGTTCTCAAGAGTTATGTGGGCAGCTTTGCATAAGGACGCATCCGCGTGGCGGCAGTGCTGAAGTAAGTCCCGAATGTTCTTCCCAACGATCCGATGGACGTCAGCTGCAGCAAAATGAGTTTTTTTGACCAGCACCTCCATGCACCACCGACAGCCTGAGATGAAAGACATTCGCATTTGGCAGGTCTGCAAACTATGTTATATATTCGCCTCGGCTTCGGCCCGTGAGCCGTCAGAGATTCCCTCAGGGACACCCCTGACTCCCAGATGCCAGCAACTGACACGAAACCGAAATCCCTAAACCCTAAACCCTAGTGAGCAGCTAATGATCAGCTGGTGGCTGGGGCCCCCACGAGTCGCGAGTTAGGGATTTCGGTGACTCCCCTCTCATCAATTCAATCTCTTTTTCCGGTTTGGGGCTGGGGATTGTCTTCCTCGGTTCCTGCCCTCACCCCGCTTGACCACCCCCCGCCCATGCCATTCTCACCTCACCACCAGTCAGCATTGGAGTCCAGTGAATTGGAGTAGACTGCTATGCCAGAGCCCTGAGCATCGGACTGAGTGACTTGTTGAGCATCGGACATGCACACGTTAGTGACTGGACTGCCAGGCCATGTGCACGCAGGCAAGGGGGAGGGGACAGGGCCTTTGAGGAGGCTAATATCTACATACGCATGTGTGTATATATATAAACATATAAACATATATATATATATATGTATACTGTCACAATACACACATATACATTTACACACACACACACACACACATATATATATATATATGTATATGTCTATATATATATATATATCTTGTTTGTCAGGCCAAGGAGGCAATCGAAGTGCTTCCTTCGCTCGGCATCCGCTCCGAAGGCAGAGAAGCGGTACCGGACGAACAGCTTGCAGGAGTCCCAATAAGTCAGGACTGCCTCAGACCTCCGCACTAGAATCAAAAAGCACCTTCTTACAGACTCACGACAAACTGCACCACTGTGTGAGGTGGAAACACTACCAAGTGAAGTGGCTGAAAACATACTTCTCTCAGGCCTCGCCATGCTGCCTATCTCGGCCACGTGCTCTAGCAGGACCTAGCATCCACGCTCACATCAACGAGCCGGGCTCTCCAGGCGGCGCGCTGACGATCCAGTCCAGCTACGCAGCTATGCTTTGGTGCAGCGACAACTAAATCTTTCAGTATAAAAGGTCAATGGTAAGATCCACGCCTTCGGGCTCCTGGTGTGCTGGGAGGCCTGGCGCCAGTTCTTCAAATCATCCACCTGAGAAGTACACAGGCATTGATCAAACCGTATCCCGCAGCTTGCCTCTGAAGCGAGGCGCATCAAGGTACGGCAGCAAGCCAGGCCTCAGGCGTGTCCGTCAAAGAACTTCTATAGTTTGCAAATTCAGAATCTGCGAGAATGCCGCTCACACCAGCAGTCCGAGGTGCAAGAGGAGCTTATACGGATCCCATTCCCCAGGGCCAGCCTCGGAACGAACCCGAAAACAAGAATGGCTGCCGGTTTCTACAGTCGCATGGACGCTTATTATGACTTGCGATTTTCAGCAGGCCTCCCCAGGCAGCTCATAGCTATATGTTGCTGTGCATGTTACGATTTGGTCCCAGCGGCAAGTGGGCATTCGGCACATGCCGTCGCGCAGGTCTCCTGCAAAGATGAGCGAAACCGTCATCACCACACCATGCAAGGAGTCTGCTTTACACGCGCATGCCCAAGCTACGGCCTGACCTCCGCACTGAAACTCCGTGGCAAGGATTGCGAAGAGATTGCGTCCTCAATCCCAGAAAGGCTTGCGCGCCCGAAGCCCTGACACCTAAACATCCCTAAGCCATAAACTCCCAAAGAGCCTCCAAACCACCGTCACCAAGCGAACTCTGCCTTAGCTGCTGGCAAGAATACCCAACTTGAAAAAGAGCTTTGGTCAGGACTGAGTTTATGGCACGTCTTGCTGGGCCTTGTTGGCTGTGGCGCTGGAATCACTGGAATTGCAAGGGTCAGAGAGCACGTGTACCTCAGCTTTGCGCCAGGGATGCCGACAGGCACAACCTTCTGGACGGTCCGCACTTGGGCGCTATGTTGGGAGATATCTGGGAATGAAGTTTCCTTTCCAAAGATATTGAGACCCTGAAGCCCAGGCCATGAAGAAATACTAAGGTGAACTGAACGCGAGGCGAAATCTCTCGAAAGTGTCCAAAGAAGGACCACACAACTACGATGACTACGATTTTTGTCAGCAGCAAGGCGCCGGTTCAAAGGCGCCCCAGTCAAGGCCCCAAACATCTTGGTGGTCCTTCTGGTGGTCCTTCTCTCGTGGGTAGACGAGAAAAAGTGCTAAAAGTGATCTCTCGTCACAAGAGAGCGCTGCGCTCCTAAGAACGCTGGATGTCCTCCCTCCCCCCCACCCCTCCTCCACCCCTCCCAAGAACAAACAAGCGCCCTATAGCTCTCCTGCTGGTCATCCACGGCCTCCTCATCGCCCACATGAAAGAACTCGCAGTCGAGATTCCGGCGCACATGCTCATCTTCAATGCACCTCGTTACACGACCGCCTTCCAGCAGCTATCGTGGGCCGGACTTTGGAGGTAGCTAATTTTCAGCTCATAGCATGCGGCCTTCATGTGCATGTGCGTTGTCCGTCAATAAGCTGAGCAACGGGCCTTGGAGACAACATCTCCTGGACCTTCTGCTTCTTCCAGGCAGTCTTTGGACTTGTGGAACAAGATGTGAGAAAGCGCTTTCTCTTTACCTTGCTCTGTTTCTTCGCACTTGTCGCAGGTGCGACAAAATACCTAGGTCTTCCGGAACACGAAAGGCCAATGATTCTGCTCAATGTTCTGAGGCATCCTCCCTTCTCCGATGAGCGGAGACCAAGGAAGTGACACAACTGCAGATTTCACGAGGGGGCGGGGAGGCGGTGGCTCCACAATTCCACAATCTCTGAGTTGATCTTAAAAAACAAACTCCCAAGACCCCTGTGCAGAAGAAGCCTTCCTGCAAATAGACCTACTATGGTTCTGGATATGCCCAACATTGCCAATAAGCAGGCATAGCAATCAGTGGTTTCTCCCAATGGCTGTTACACAAGCCTTGCGAAGAAGATAGGCTAAACCCTAAACCCTAAACCCTGCACCCTAAACCCTAAACCACCGGCGTTCTTCTACTGTTAGCCCACGCGCTGGGTCTCGGAGGCTCGGAAGCCCTGGCAGCAATCGCAAGGTGACGCTGTGTTTTGCGACTCCGGCTTGTTTTTTCCCCCCTTGATATCAAACATCAGAAAAATTTGCTTTGACTTCGGGCTTTGACTGTCTGTAGTGCTGGCAAGGATCTGACCTAGGAGCTTGCATATCTTTTGCTCCAGGCTTGCGACCTTCTGGAACAAAGTGTCCAGCCTGGGCCAATCACAGAAGTTCCGGCTGCCACAACCACTATATAGTCACTGTAGATAACACAACAGCATTGTCTAAGCTCCAGGCGTGGCAGCCGGCATCACGTCATGGGACACCTCAGGTGCGTATGTTGTCAGTCGAATAAGGGAAAACCCGAAAACCCTCACTTGGCTACCCGTGGCTACCCAGCCTTCGGGAGGATTTGCAGAGACCCGCTTCTTGGGTTTGATGGTGGGCTTTGGGAGAACATGGAAGAACCATGCGCAGATTCTGGGCTCTGGGCTTCTCATGCCAGTCACTCGATATTGGATTGGGCTTTGGGATGTTGGGATAAGGCCTTGGGTTCTGGAAGTGTGCATGGAGTCTACGCCCACCGGCCATATCCCAATATCTCCAAAAGCCTAAACCCAAGCATCCTCTTGAATCCTGCAAACCAAGATCCGACAGCTCTGACGTAGGCTTCTAGAGTTTGCGTTATGTTTGCAGAACTTAGACTGAGGGCTCTTCCGGCTTACGCCTTGGAAGCCGTCTCTGATCATAGGGCTCCAGTTGAGAAAGTGTGGAAGGTACACGCAGCAGTCGCTTGCGCATCCCTGCCTCTTTCGATGGCTCCCCTGGTGGCGGGTTTTCCTGGCCACTCGGCTTCCGACCCGAGAGAACATAGACACTCCAGTAGTCAAAATGCAGCACAAATTTTGCCGATAATTACACCCCGCCCTGTAACGGCCAAACCTTAACCCGGAATTTTTGAGCCCCCAACCCTAAACCAAAAAAACCCTAAACCCTAAACGACCCATCTGTTTATTCGCTCAGAGCGCTTTTGCGGGCATTTGGGCTCAGGGTCTGGGCTTCGAGTGACAGGAATGCGGGTGGATTTCTGTTTCACTGTGCTAAAATTCCTTTTAGCAGCTAAAAGGTTCTCTTATAAAGGGTGTTTAGGGTTTAGGGTTTACGGCTTAGGGTACTGCGAAGGAATTCCCAGCAGCTCCTCTGGTGGCTTCACCGCGTCTGTCAAGGCGACCTTCACTTGCACACGGGGCTTTAGGCCTCGGAACCCTCAGATGTCGACTTAGGCCTTAGGCCTCTCTCCCGTCTCTCCTTTTTGATTTCAGCGCTTCCTATCGCTTCCTTTCGACCCGTTTCAAGGGCCATTGACAATCAGGGACCGCCTCTTCGCAGGACAAAGGCGCGCGGGAAGTGCCAGAGGCCTGGGTGAGGGCAACGGGTCGCTGGCTCCTTGACCTTAGAGTCCTGAACTTTAAGCCCCGAAACCCATATGAGCTCGAAGCTTTGTTGGGGCCTCGCAGCTTTCGTGCGTTCTTGTCGCACGATTTTTTCGGGGGGCATACCGACAAGCATCCGGTTGTGGAGCTTTTGGCGTTGAGAAACGTTAGGGTTGAGGGCTTGGAACGGGAAGTCTCCAGGTTTAGGGTCCCATCAGTTCCAAAAAATTCGGTCCGTTCTTGGGAACCCCTGAACATAGGAATAGGGGCCTAAACCTTAAACCTTAACTTAAACCCCAAACCTTATACACCAAACACCAAACTCTAAACCCTATACACAACTGATTTAGCGAAACACAGCAAAGGAGGATCCAACCAGGCCTCGTTGGGCTCCGCATGTAAAAGCTGCTGCAGAAGTCGCTGAGCTGTGGCATCGATTGCCAGCCCCATAGCGACGAAGAGGATGACGTAGCGCAGTATGCGGGCGACAGAATTTAGTGCTTCTCATACATTTGGTTCATGGTCAGAGTTGCTGGCGCAGCCCAAAGCGTGCACACCGAATTCAAAGGATTCGAACCGTTTAAGACCCATCAAGGGAGGGGTACTTAGACCACGGACCAGTTGGGGTGTACTAACTCGTTGGACCTGGAAGCTGCTGCCACGTGTAAGATTTCTTCACATGAACGATCCGCTCAAGACTTCTTGACCTGCTATGCTAGACATCGTGGTGCCGGCCGGGCTGCAGTCTTCTGCTACGCCGAACATCTGGCATTGAGCAGCAAACATGGCCAACCGAGGTGAGAGAACTGGCAGCTGAACAAAATTTTGGCGCTTGCCGCTTGCTAGAGAAGCCATTAAAGTTTTGCAGTTCCGAAAATACCTGGGAACACTTTGTCCCAACCCGCCAGATGAGGCTTCTAGGAAAACTTGTCAAGAGTTGCTACCAAGAAGTTGTCGAGTAACCTAAACACTAAACCCTAAACCCTAAATCGCACACTCTGGTTTGCTGCGAGATCTTTGTGCTTTGTGGCGTGTTCGCCTCCTCCAGGGAGGACCTGGAGGACCTGTCAGGAAGGATCGATCAAAGCAAAGCCGTCACAGGACACGAAAGACCAACCCTAATCCTACGTAGTTGCCACAAGAATTGCCGCAAGCTGCAAACCGACGGGTGCCCTCTAGTATAATTAGAGCCCATAAAACCCTAAAAACAAGCTATCGAATAATCTTTACAAGGCAACCCTCGCAAAATATCGGCACCCCAGTCGAATTGCAAAAGGTTGATAAAGATAATGAACTATTGGAATCATTGTTCAAGATATAAAAACCAGTGCCACACCCAAGTCCCTGTCCTACCATAACCGCATATACCCGCCCCGAACTAACCACACTTAACCTACGAAAAACAAAATAACGCTACAAATGAACAGAGTTATTCTATTTAACACCCTGCAGGTTGCGAGTTTGTCGAACAAAGTCCCCTCCTTTAGCGGGGTGATTTTCAACGAAACTGCCGCACACAGAGTTGCGATACACGGGCATTGTCGGGTTTGTGTGGGTTGGCTTGTCGTGGTTCTGTGGGGTTGGTATGTCGTGGCTCCTCATTCCTGAGCTTCCGTCATGGTTGCCCTTTGCTTTCCGTATCTTGGCTACACCCCTGGCTCTGGGGTTGTGACAACCCACAACTGAATCCAAAACCCTTCGTACAAGGCATGAACGCCGGGAACTTGCACACAGCAGAGTGTTTGTGCAATCTGTTGATGCATGTCATCCTGTGCATTCAGAACAGCGCTCCATCTCTGTGTGCTTCATGAGGGTTTCGGGGGGCTGGGACAGTGGCGATGAAACAGGTGGCCAAGAACTTGCATGGCCTTTTTCATCTTTTTCTGGTCTCAGAGAACCTTCCTGCCCAAGGCTCAGCACATGTTCGGACCAGAGTCACTATATCTTCCTGTGCCGATGGACACCCTTTTCTTCCATGAAATCACGTCGGTGCCAGCAACTCCAGCAGCCCAGTCTTTGGATTGTCGCCTTGATGAGCCAAGCTCAGGTCTAGCAGCGATATCAAGGATCTACGAGTACGGCTGATACTGCGACGAGCTTGTGAACAGACTTCTTTAAAGGTGATGCCGTTTTTGGATGCACTGACTGATGCTGAGCAATACACTGTCCATGGCAATGCTCAGCAGCTTGAAGTCTGCACCTGAAGTTCCATTTCATGCCGAGTGCCCTTGACGAAGCCTGTGTCTATTTCGGACAGTAACTCACCAAATCTCAAACCGTTGCCTCTCTGCGCCCTTTCCCACGTCCCAGATGGCAGAGACAACCACCAAGACATGCATGCGGCTGGTCATAGCGGAATCTCCTCTCTTTGCAGGATCGTGCCGAGGCCGGGGCCACTTGATCTCGCACGCTTATACAACCTTTGCCCCACGAAGCTACGGATTGACAGATTTTGTCTCCAAGTTCTTCCAAGCAGCTCAATGAGGGACAGCTGTTGTAGCTCTTGCCGGCCTGCGTGGGGAGATGGATGCCGCTTCGCTGCCAGAGAGAAGGGCTCGAGATCCCGACTTGGCAAGGGCTGGCCAGGTGGCTTCTCTGTCAGCCTAAGAAAGCAGAATCGATTCTTGGTCCGTAGCCCAGGGCCCAGGACTCGTGAGACATTGGCTGCTTTGGTTGATGTGCTGGGTTGGCTTCTTGTGCATGTCGTCCTTTACCTGAAAAGACAATTTCCAAGGCGGGGCAAGAAATCCACTGTCTGGTTTCCTCTCTCAGAACTGGTCAAAGGGCCTTTGCCATCTCGCTTTGAGGTGCCGACGCCTCCAGGACATGGACGAAAAGATGCCAAAAAGGCAAGCCAGCACTCTGCAACTGCGCCGCTGCGCCACTGGGGCAATCCCTGGCCTGCATCCTTTGCAGCCCTTGCTCGCCGGAGGTGGTCATCCACCCTTTACAGGACTCGACAAGACAGAGCGTCGCTGAGATTGAGAAGAATCTTGAGGCTGCGGCCAATCCCGCCAACCTGGATGTGGCTTCCGATATCTTACATCTCTTTTCTTATCTTTCGTTGTAGTCACTGCAAGACCTCACCAGGACATACACTAGGACCTTGGGAGTAGCAAGGCCCTTGCAGGAACGACAGAACCACTCGAAATTCCCGTCAGCGTCGGCTCGTGCCTGGCACAGACGGAAGAAATGCATGCAGAGTGCGTACCTAGACTAGATTGACTAGATCTGAACGAAGCTGGGCTCAGAACACCCTCGGATGGATCTTCGAAGAGCACGCCGCACTCACCACATCGCCAGTACCCTTCTGGCACACCTTGCTTTTTGTTATTTTCTGGCAAGTTGTCCACCCTGACTTGCATTCATAGTGATGTTTAGACAATCCGCCGAGGCCTCGGGCCGGAGGTGTATAGGTTGTGAGAACAGGCACCCCGCTCCAAATCCTCCCCCCACACCCAAAACCATTTTTCGGACCCCCTCCCCCCCCCCCCCCGCCTCTGCCGCCGTGCCCCTCCCCTTTTCCCCGCAACATTGGTGAGCGGGTTTTCGAGGCTCAACTTGGTGTGAACGTCCGGGATGCATTACACGAGCCGAAGAGTCTCAACCCTACGATCAATCCAAGCCGAACCATCTCTTGAACCCTAAACTTCAAGAAACCCTAAACCCCAAAGCGTGAACCTTGAGCCCTAAGCCCTCAATCCTAAACTAACCCTCAACCCTAAACCCCAAACCATAAACCATAAACCCGGAACCCTAAACCCTAAACCCTAAACCCTAAACCCTAAACCCAACCCTTATTGCTTGGGGTCCAGCGACTTGGGCGCTGCGGAATCACCATGCTCACGCGGATGCGCTGGGCCGGGCCGAGGCGGGTCGCGTAGCGTTAAAATTATGGCGGATTCTTTGTACTGCTCACAGCTTACTGCTCTGCATCCCAGCACTGTGGCAAAAGAAGGATATCTCTCTGAACTTTCCCTTTCAGTGCCAGGGAGTTTCTGCGCTCAACTGGGAATTAACAAGCTGTGTTTGCAGAAGTCTCTTCCGCACCTCCTGAAGGTGCAGGTCGCAAGATCGCGTCACTCCAGTTGAAGTTTGCCACTTTCTCGCTTTCTTTGGCCTGGCAGCGGAGCCAAGTTTGGAAAGGCGCACTAGTGCCACTCTGAAAGGCCTCGGGTACGGGGGGCTCTGGCGGCTTGGAGTCAGCGGGTGCCTGCTCATGAACTTCACTGTACTTCCCTCACTGAAAGGCATGTGGGCTGCAGTTCTTCAAAGTTCTTCGCGCACCTGTGGCTGCTGACTGGTAATCCAAGGAAATGGCCTGCAGCTCGTGGCCAGACGCAGCCAGACTTGCACCAAGCATATGTGTGCTACACTCTGTGAACATGTCATCTAGAGGCGCAGACTTTCTTTGGAACGGCAACTTGGCACCTCAACAATCTGCAGGGATTCTGACGGTGCAATGGCTACTCGATCCCTAGGCATATCGGACTATGTTGAACTGTCGAGTCTCCTGCCGAAGCGGCGGTCTCGCATCGCTTGCTCCCGTTCCTACACCCGTCACAGTGTCACACAGCATCCCCAAGATATCAAGAGAACTCACCACGCGTCGCTGGAACTTGCCTCCTGGGCGTTGCTGGAATTATCGGGCCTTCGGTGGTGCTACTGCGCGGCAAAAAACGTATGCAATCTATGCCGGCCCAGGCGGTATCTCGCACGGGAGGCGTGGTCGAGAAACTGGAGCTCAGTGTGCCATTTTTGCAGAGAGCGCCGGCATACTCCGGGCGTTGACACCTGTGCCGTCGCTAAGTCTGGGGCATCGGAGATGTCCATCGATATAAGCGCACTTCTTCGCCTGGAAAGCGCTGTGCAAATCGGGCAATACCACGGTCAAACCTATGAGTATAGGGACATGCATGGGGTACCTGAGCAGATTGGGTTGTCGCGTGCCTCCAATGCCGCTGGCGATTTTGGCAGTAAGCCCCTTTCCAGAAGGTGCCTTGGACGCACTGCACAATTTGCATGGGATTGTGCTGCTAGATCCTGTTGCTCTCAGGCATGGGCCCAGAGGCCGCTTCTGAACTGAGGGTCGAAGGACTGAGCCTTCTCAAGATTTCCAATTTTGCCGACATCCTTTGGGCATTCATTATTCGTTTGCTTTGTGCTCTCAGATAACTGAGCAATTCTCAGGACTTCATGGAACGAACGCTTTTTGGAGTTGTTGCCACAAGCTGGGCGGCCCGACCAGCTGCAACAACTCCTGCCTCAGCATGGTCATGGTGACCACTTGTGCTTGGCTGCCGCTGCACATCTCAGCCCAAAACGCTAAAGCAGCCCGCCGCTTGTCGGAGATCTTCCTGCACAGGTCTTGCCTCGCTCCGGTCGAAAACGGCGACAGGCTGTTTCTGGCTGCTAGGCTTCCACTAGCAACACCTTATCGAACTGCGTTTGAAGCCCAATTCCTGATGAGGACTTGCTGTGGGACGCTGTTTAGCTTTAGCTTTAGCTTTAGATTTAGCTTAGCTTAGCTTTTGCTTGGCTTGAGCCCGCGTTTCCTCGTTCCCCTGCAAAGTGTCAACCCGACAGTCCCGACAAAGCCGAACTGGGACTTCGAAGCTGAGGTTGCCGGCGCGGCTCTCGCCGAGTGGCCGGCCTCTTGTGGGCGTTCCGCCTTCGCATTTCTGAGAGCCCCCCCCGAATCGTATGTACCCCAAGGCTGAACTCTGGATTAACCCGGGAAACTGATTGTGAGCCTCTGGACATGCATTTCTATTGTCCGTCTATGCCCAACCTCCAAGTGAGCGACGGCAAGCTGTAGGAGGGCATCAGCCTTCCAACCGGGATTTTCGAACTTATCTTCGCCGTGGTGGCTTTACATACTATGACGCTGAAGTCACACATGGCCACACCCCACATAGCTCCAAGCTGTGCGGTGTTCCCTGTGTGCCTCACCCGTTCGATCTCCAAGGTCTTGAAACAACGAGACGGACCTGACACCATGAACATTCTCACATGCTGGCAGGGAAGCAAAGTTAGGACATTCACATGGCAGGAAGCTCATTTTACACTCTACTCGGCTCGCAGCTCTTGGGCAACCTCAGTCGTGCTTGCTGTTGAACATTCGTGCCCTTGTTCCAGAAGCGCTGCATACATTCCATCCACTTTTGTGCAGTCTGGCTCCCATCCAGAAGTCAAGTTTGCCGGGCTATTCAGGACCCTTTGACTGATTGGGGATCCGCCGTTGGCGCCTCTACAAAGTCCGTCTTCCAGGTGTCGTAAGAACATGCACACCTTCTCAAATCACTTGCTGAGCCTCGGTGAGCCTTCTAAACTTAAAAGCTCATGGGAACGTGTAACGACGGTCAAAAATGCACTAAAGAGGGTCGAACATTGTTGCAACTCGGGGATCGCACAGGGACTTTTTTGCACATGATTCAGCAACAAAGTCTTCTAACAACCTGCAAAAACAAGCCATGCCTCAGCCAAGAGCAAGCCCCAAACTTGCAAGGCCCGAAACATACTTCATGCTGAGGCGGAAGTTGCCCTCCGAGGTTCATGCTGCAGCACCCTGTGACGGAGACCTGCCGAAACATCGGAGCTGTCGGGAGCTTAGCTATTCAGACTTTAGACTCATTCGGAGGCAGTGGCTGTGGGTCGCATGGTCCAGCTAGGCGCCCTGCTTCTTGTACAGATGTGCAGCTGCCAGCCTTGCGCAGTAACGGCGCCCTTGTTAAGAAGACACTCTTGGACCGACTCAGGCTGTCCGAGCTCGGGGGCGTTCGCAGGGCAGAGCCTAGCCCTGCCATGTCACCGCCCTCCCTGAAGGCCTCTGGTCCATTCAAGCTCTTGGCTTGACACGGTACAGTGGCGACAGCAGACTAATCTACAAGAAAGAGCTGCAACGTGGCCTCCGTGGCTTGCGAGGATGCTTGTATGCAGTCCAACGAGAAACCCTGCAGCGCCTGCCGCAGGCATTTTCACCACACATTCACGAAGATGCTTATTAAGCCTGCCCGAATCTGGGCAGCGGCCATGATGCAGGGTCGGCAGTGTAGGCAGGAAGTATAGGACACGAGCAGTATCGGCCGCTGCCCTGTCGCAACGCTTCTTTTAGGGGCCGCTCTTCGGCGTCTGGCAGCTCGTGCACTGTGACTGGAAAAAGCCGAAGCCTCACATGCAGTTCCATGACATTGTCAGCAGAGCAGGCCGGCGCGCCCATCTCACAATAGCCTAAGGCCCGGACCAGCGGCCCCAAAGAGGCCAACATATCCTCACGCTCGCCAGAAGCTGGCCATAAAGAACTTGTTGTTTCAGAGGTCTCGGTCAGAGTCTGTGAATGCTCATTTGCAACGCTGGATCTTATCAGGTCTTGCTCTAGACCGCCCTCGTGGGATCTCGTGGGTCCTGTGCCCCCGCACGCGCTGCAGGGTTTCTCCTGGAGTTTCTTGAAGGCGCGCTCGGCTGCAGCCAAAACCTCTTGGCCATTTCGTTTGGCGCTACTAGTAGAGTCTGATCACTGTCTACTCTGCAAAGGGCACAGGCTGCGTACCTAGATCCTCCAAAAACAGGAAGCCTGAACTTGGGATGAATGCGGGGTGCCTCGTTTCCATCCAGGAGATCTCCAGTGAGACTGGGCTGCAAGCCTGAGTTGGGGGGCCATGTGGGGGTTGTTCTACATTAAAGTTCGCTTTTGGACGCCAAAAACGAACCCAAACAGAAACCCAACATCCCACAGTTTTGATCAACCCCCCAGGTGTGGAATCGCACTGGCTTAGCTTGGCAGCCAGGGAGCCTCCATTGACTTGCTCGCAACTGGTACGGTCGACATTTTGCACGTTGCTTAGCACTTCTGCCATGCTGTCCAGAGTGTCCTGATCGTCGAAGATTGAAGCCGCCTCATCGGAGACATTCTGGTGACATCTTGCAGCATGCAAAACAACCAACAAACCACGGCATGCTGATAAACCATTGGCTCTTGCCTCCTGTTAAGCCGAGGAGCACGAGGAAGTGCGGGACGGCTTGGTGGGGCAGAGGCTTCTTCTGCCCCTGTCGTTGTGTGCTGGCAGACGACGCAGCAAATGGCTACAAACACCCCAGGATCTGGTCCCCAATGCCCCCTGGGCCCTTCCAATTTAGAGACCACGGCAAAGAGCTGAACCAACGATCAGGTAACACCTAGAAACGATGAACATCAAGCTGAAAACCCTTGAAACGTGCTGAAACCTGCCTGTGTGGCCACCCAGAACTTGAGCAATGCTTTGGCTTTGGCTTGCTGGAGCAGAGACTTCTGCTCCTGAACACAGGCGCATCACGCAATTGAACTAACGCGCACATGGTTGGAAAACTGCGTCGCCTGTTTTGCCACCCAGGACTTGAGCAATGCTTTCGAGAGTTTCGTCACTATCGAAGATGGAGACTGCCTGACTGCACTCAGCTGTCTGGGAGAGGCTGGAGTGGTCTGAGACTGTGTGGAACATGATGGAACATGTTCCTGCCACCCTCGTGACCACCGTAGCCTCGTGACCACAAAATCCAGCTGCACACCTGCTTTAAGTTCGAGATGCTCGTGGGACCTTGAAAGCGCTTGATGTCTTCAGATCACCTGCCGGGAGCGATTGACGGATGTTTCCCATTCTCTCTCTCTCATTTTCGAAGCTTGTGGAAGTCCGCTAAACTCGGAGAAGGCTTTGTATGCCTAGCTTTGGTGGCTTGGGTCTTTCGTGAGGCACGTCTGATTGGACAGGACATTTGCATCAACGAGCATTTGCCTGGCGCTTCTGGCTTCGGCGCATGATCGAAGCTCTCAGTGTAAACGTTGTTCAAGGTCTCCTCCACACCTTCCACTTGTCCACTATTGGAGTTCGCCTTACAGACCGGTCAGCGCACAAGCCTTGAAGCCCTGCAATCTGAGTTCGGCATGAAACGTGACAAGTGGCACGAGGAACGCGTATTTGGCTTGCTGTGCCAGACCTTGGTCCAGGCAGATTTCCCATCTTTGTGGACCAGAAATGACCAGAATGGTTTTGTATGACATGAACGAAATCACTTCGAAAACTCTTGTCTTCGAGGTAGTTCAGCTCAGACGGTCTCAGCCTCCGGCAAGCTATAGTACTGATCTCTACTATTAAGGGCGTGGGTTTTCAAAAGCGTACCCGTGGAACATGTTTGCCTGCAAGTTGCTTGGGCTGAGCACCCCCTTCCAAGAATCGCAGAGCTTGCGCCAAGCGGGCGAGGGATGCATCATCGAACTCCTTTGCAGGAAGGAATGGAAGTGAAGGGAAGCTGTGCGGACTGTGCGGCGCATTCTTGGCGGGGGTGGAGACCACCAATTGTGTTTAATACTTTTGGCTGGCTTTTCGAGACATAGTGACATGGCCTGCAATTCTGCAGCTCGCGTTGCTTCAGTTGTCGTGCTTCATACCCTCGAGCGTATATTTGCTTGAGCCCCTCTACCCAATGGTTCATGCATAGTTACTTCGTTTGTGTACATGTCGAGGGCTTCTGATGCCGATGTTCTCTCTCTACTGATCATGATGCCTACGACGTGCTGTCGTTCATTGTCGTTGCGGCCATGGTGCCGACAGTGATGCTTCGCTTGCCCAGGATTCCCCGCTACGGGAGGGCAGCGACTGCGGTGACGGCACATCCCCCTGCAAGCTCAAGATTCAAAATTCCAAACACAGTGATATGGAAGCCTTGCTTTGTTTTGTTTGATCCCCCGCGATGTCGATTATATTCAATGATGTGCATGATTGGTCGTCTAGGCAGCCATCATGGCCTCATCCAGGACGCCCGCGTGCTCAAGCCCATGTCGCGGCGCCTTCATGTCCATGTGCCTATATGCAATCCTTTGCGCCTCTTTGCAGCATGCATCTTGTGGCCTCGTCTTTTGGTTCTTGGCAAGATGTCGTCGCTGGAGACTCCTAGCGAACTATGGCGCTCATCTCGTACTCTTGGTTGGCTCAGGGCTCTCCCCATCTTAACATTGTGCCTCGCCCGGCACAGGCATGGGAGTGGGCAAAGCAGGCTCCTGCGAAACGGTTCATCCATTCCGAATAGAGCTCTGGCGTGACTGTCTTCTGTGCTGTGCCTGGACCACGGCATTGGCAACCGGTGTAGTCTGCGTGCTGCTGCTGGAAGGGCCGCCTCGACGAAGCAAAGTGGCAATGAAAAGACAGAGCGTAAAGTCAGAGTAACGGCAGAGATCCCCAATGCATTTCGTGCTCAGGGTACTCACGCAAACGCACTCAGCCCAAGCACAGCCTGGAAGCATGGGTTTGGGTGACAGGTCCGTGCGGAATGACGGGCGTCGTGGTGGGGAGCCTGGCCATGGGTGGACCGCAGGCACACGAAGACCGAGCTGTTGCGGTCAAACGGTGGGCATGAGAGCCAGTTCAATAAACAGACAACAGCGTTTCTGTCCTCCTCCGCTTGCCTGCATGGGGCACAAGGCGCCGACGCTGCTAGGCTTGTTGCGTTGTTGGATGTTCCTGGACCCGCCTGGAGCGACTGCAGAAAGTCTCCCATGCTGGAGGCGACGCGACCACGGCCTCCACGAGGCACAGCCAAGCCGAAGTGCTTCATATCGTCTGCTACATGATGCAGAATCTACAGCACACAAGTCATCACACACCGCCAGTCAATCTGCCAAGGCCCAGGCGGGGAGACGGACTCGACGGACTTTTCTCGTCAGTGTTGGTGCGGGGTCCAGGAGCTGGAGCAGACGCTCCGTTCTCTGGAAGTGTTGTTACCGCCACTCGTGCTGGCAAACAGTTCGAGTAGTAGCGCAGGTCAACTGTGACCTGAGCCGCACTTACTCAAGATTCCTCAACGGCAGCAGGCTGGGGCACACAATGGCTGTTGTTTGTCCGACTCCGTCCAGGCTCCCGGCAGCCGACGATATGGCAGAGGCCCACAGAACAGCAGCATCTGCCATGTGCTCGTTTTGCGAGGGCAAGAGCACAGCACGCACTGCGAAGGTGTAGTGACCTGAACTGTTGCAGTGACTGTACCTTGTACCTATCCAGTCACTCCAGCATCCCCTACTCCGCCCCGCGGTGCCCTGCACAAGATGCTTGAGACTTGAGACTGCGACATCCCAGTGGCACGTCGAATTTGTGTCTTTGACCCTGGCACCTCCACCTTAGTTCAAATCCGAAGTTGCACTGGCGTACAAAGGTCAACAAGTGTGGTCTCGGTGGAGCTGGGCTCGATTGTTATAGGACTAGCCGTGCAGTTCAGAACGTCTTGGTTATTCGTGATACGCGAAGATATATCGACGACGAGATGGGACTTCATGCTACTGTACCCGGATCTTTCCCTCTCAGTGCTACATCCAATGGACGTGTGGACTGAAGCCTGAAGCTTTGGCTCGATTACGGCGGCCGCTGCTTCCGAGGCGCCTTTGCAAAGCTTGTTCTGGCTTCCTCAGCTGAAACCATGCTTTGCCATACTTTAGCTTCAGCTCTCATTGCTCAAGGTGACTCTGGGACACAGTGCTGGCGAGGATCAAGGCTGCGGCCACGAATCCTTCGCAAGCATTGAACTGCAAAATCTCGAAGCCCTTCATGTTGCCCTCCGCGGATAAGTTGCAAGGCCTTGGTGACATGGCAACCCTGCACTTCCTTGGCCCAAAATGCGTGTTGTGGTCATTGCCCTGTGTCCCGTCTCTTTTGCCGAATGGCTCCCAATCGAAGACCCAATTCATCCAAACAGTGCCCTGCCGGAAGGAGAGGATCTGTGCAAGGACAGCGGAGGGGGCAATCTCCCAGACTGCGGCAAGAGGCCTGGTGCCAGGGGCGCAGCCAGTTCAGAGTGTTCGATGCGCTCGCGACGGACTACGACTGTAGGCAAACGATGTCAACTTGTCAATTGGTCTGGGGTGGCGCCGGCTAAGCCAACTGCCGGGTAGAATCTGGAGGACTCTGACCAGCTTCTTGGTCTTGAGCTTGTTCCTGGAAGC